AAAGGTACGGGCAAGGAAAACTTTTGATGGTCCTGAAATTGCCATTTCTGATGGATTTTGAAGCCATTTTATGAGCTAGAAGATTTTTACTTGAGATAAGCCAAAAATGTCCTAGAAACGTACTACAAATTTGCCGTAAATGGTAATTTCAGGACCATCAAAAGTTTTCCTTGCCCGGACCTTTCCTCATTGCAAACATGAGGCGGAAATGATTTCTACATATGTTCTTTCAGATGTCCTGAAATGCACCACAAAGTCTTCTGAAACATGAACTCTTTGCCGTACCAAAATGTAGCCATATTGAGTCATTTCAGGTTCATTTCAGGCTACACAAAAATTATCATTTTCCTGCACCGCAAATGGCTACGAAAGTGGTGGTAAATCTATCGTTTTAGGACACCAGAAAGCCCCGGTTAAGTCTCCGAAAATGAAACATTTTTGATGGCTTGACCGGGACATTTCAGGTGATCTGAAATCAGCTCATGCCCGTAGTGTTCGCCTCTTCAGTGTACAGCGTCATCCACGGTGGGAATTTTCCCACCGGTGAGTTACTTCAGAAGGCCGTCGATTACGCCATGTAGAACTCGCGGATCGGGAACTCGAGACTGTGCGTCAGGTCAACGCCCTCGTTGCGGAACATACAACCAATCTCGTATAAGAGGTCAAGACCACAGATAATGAGCGGCTTCAGATGCAGCTCGGAGGCGCTCCGAAGGTACAGATCGAGTTTGAGGTCGTCTGTGGGGCATGACGAACGGATTGGCAGTCGATCGTGCCCATCCTCGGTGTCTCGACTTGGAGAAAGCCGAGGCTGCCGAAGAACCGGCAGACATAGCTGACGGTGCGACTGTGGGCGATGAAGACGCGTCTTGTGCCCTCGTTGAGGATTAAATCCAGGTAACTGTTGGGGTAGCAGCTCTCTTGGCCCCTGAGGCCAAAGTAGCCCGACGACATTTGGTGGAGGGACGATCGAGAGCTCGCTTTCCATGGTGCGTTCTGAGGTTCCGATGTCACCGACGATGTCACCGTGGCGGAAGTACTCATGTCGCGCGACGAAGCCCTCTGGGACCTGAGGAGCAATATTTCCGTAAGCCTTTAGTCACCGGGAAGGCGAGAGGGACTCACTGCCTGGCCGCCGTGATCTGGACCTTCTCGCCCTCACCATGGAGATGCGCAAATATTGCGGGAGGAGAGGCGACGCACCCACCGCTGGAACGAAGACTTAGCATCGAGAGACCCTTGTCCGCTGCAAACGCTGAGTCGGCCATCTCGAGAATAACGACTTCCGCCTTGACTCCGGTCGTAGAAGACCCCGCTTGTAGAGTCCAACGTTACACAACAGTAGCAGAAGCAGAAGCAAAGGATATATAGTGACGAAGTTGATACAAAGCGCAGGAGGAGGACCCGACCGTAGAATATATAGCCCGAAAACGGTGATGCGCCAAACAGCGCCAAGCACGACGCGGCGGCCAATCTGTACTCATCTCGAGAACATAGGCGGCATGCAGTCACACCCTAGCCTTGCACGATAGCCCGGCAAGGTGACCTCAAATGCACTGCAGCGCTCTACACTAGGCCTGCAAGGTCATGTTCACAAAGGCCACCCGCATCCCAGCCGCCGACTTCCACGACTTGTCCTGCGACCCGGGCCTCCAGGCGACGCTCACCGCCGAGACAATCATTGAGCAGCCCAGCAGTATCCATCTACCGCATCCGAACTTACCGGCGAACGCCAGACCCCATCCCCGTGTCGGGCTTCCTCCTCTCGGTGTGGCTGCGCGATGAAGACTTGAGAAGCTACGACATCGACCTCAGCAAGGTCGCTCTGCACATGCCGAGTGCGGAAGAGGGCGCGCTCGCAGAGGGCTGGCGATCCGGCAGCAGGGAGTACAAAGCGGACAAGCGCAAAATGAGCATCATGAGCAAGCTTTTACGTGCACGACAAAGGGGGACGCTGTGTACCTGGTATGCTTGTGGGTATGCTACGAGGTCATGGGCAAGGCAGAGAGCCAGGAGGATCGGCGGATGTACACTGTAGGACCCCGTGTGTATATGTCTCTTCTGTTACTGGGTGTTTAATTCTGAATTTTTTGCCTTCATTTATCTAGGTAAATACATTCGATATCTCTCCCCACTCATAGGCAAGTTCCTTAGCTCGTCCAATTCTCCAGATAGTGGCGACCGTAACACCGTCGTGAAGCCTGCCGCGTTCGTTGCGAATTGCCTGCAGCTCGCGGGGCCCGTCCCCTCTTTGCTTCACCACCGCTACGTCAACTCCGCGCCCTTCGTGAAAGGGTTGTTCCGCAAGAGAGGCCACGCGCTACACAAGCAACATATGGAGGTATACAGGCGGGACAAGACCGTCGCATGAGGCGTGATCTGCGACGATAGTGAAGATCCGCAGGGCGAGGAGACGGACCGAGCGCAGGACCGGGAGGGCACCAAGAACGAGGGCAGCGTGGATGGAAAAGACGAGAAGATCAGCAACGATTTCGCTGCCATGACTCGCCAGTCCCTCCGGATAATGTCGTGTGGGACGAACAACCGTAGATTCACGTATGACATCATGCTGGACGGCAAGTGGCGGTCAATTGTGAGTACATGTTCTATGTTTTTGTTGCTAAACCGACGCTAACTTCGGTCTTGGACGTCCAGGAAACTGGAGACCAGATGACCATGGAGTTCCCAGCAAGTACACCCCATGCACTCGGACGTCGAGATCGTGTAGCGCAGCGAGCTCTTCATGCGCGTCCCCTGCGGCACCATCACACCGCAGCCAAGGACCCGTCGCTCGACGCCTCGCGCGCCCAAGCCCAAGCCCGCAGAACATGCAGACCGACACCCACGGCCACGACCCGCCAGCGCCGCACGAGTTCGTGAACGACAACGACTCGGGGACGCATCGGCCGTGCGCGAACCTGTTGCGCGTGCTGCACGCGTACCTTGTGTCGCCGCACAACCTCGACCTCGGCGCGCTCGGGCACGTCACGACGCTGAACGCGTTCGGCGAGCGGCTCAAGCGATGGAGGGACGCGCGCTAGCGGGTGAGGGCGAGGGGCGAGGGGTGAGGGAGAACCAGGATCAGGGTGCGCAGGCAAAAAGGGTGGAGGAACAGCCTGGGTCTGGGGATAGCGGGTCCTCGGGCCAGCGAGTCACGAGAGGACAGGGCTGATTTATTTACCTTGCATATGTTAGATACCGTGCACACTGCTGGCTGTAATTCCTATGTGCTCGATGTTCCCCGTAATTATTGTTTCGCTGGCTGGACTTTGTTGTCTATTGACATTTGTACATTTGTAACAGCATCTGTATATCTACGAGTCCCGACGTGGCAGCCCATACTGTTCGGGCTTGAAGTCTTCGAGCGGCTCGAGCGTCTGGTCTGGTTGTTTAATGGTGGAGAGGGACGTGGTCGTGCCTGCGCTGCTATTTGTACCAACGGTAACGAGGATTGTGTCGGGTACGTATACCTCTGTAATGGCTGCTTAGTTAATCGCGCGGTCGACAATAGATATTCGCGTTGCGCATCATTCATGCCGGCCCTTCTTCTAGCTTGCACGCCCAGGGTCGCATCTTTGAAGATAAGGCCATCCCCCCTTCTGCCATCTGGTGCTCCTCCATGACCTCGCGCTCATCGTCCTCCAACTCCCCTTCCAACACATGCTCTCGTCATCACAGGAAACACGTCCTGATACGGCTTCCCGCGGCTGGACCGCCATCGTAGCAGACGACCCCGTCCTCGAAGCAGCTAGAGAGCGCGGCCACGAGGTGCGCGCCTTCTTGTGCGCAGTCGCGGCGCTGATAGCCCGCCCTGACGGCGATCGCCGGTGCAGGCGCTGCACGAGGCGTACCGCGCCCGAAACCCGGCTGCGACGTGGGCCAGGTGGTCGAAGGACGCGGTGGCGAAGCTATAGAAAGGAGGGAGCCCGTAACCATCCCAGCCGCGACAGCATAGACAGTTTCTTGCTGATCGCGGTAACACTCTAAGAAAACGGGTTACCGAGCGAATCCTTGCGACGACATGCGCCGTCTCAACAATGCTAACAGATGTGCTGGGGAGACTTGAAGACGAGCGGAGTGCGGTAGGGTGTACAGCTACGGAGTGCCCAAGTGTAAATATTTCATTCCACAATGACAGGATGTGCACATAATCTTCCAAATCTCCTACTCTGATAACGTGTGAAATATCCGCTGAACGAGCGTACAAACATGAAGCCAGATCCACCAGGTATTGTCCTTCGAAATCGTCCGTCGCCCGTCTCTCGCACCACCACTGCAGAGCCTTTTGACCTTGCATTCCAGACCCAACCTCAGCTCGCCCTTCCGTACCCTCCGCCAGTCCCTTCCGACAGCGCCGCAACCTGCTCCAATTCGCGCGTTACAGAGGTTACGGCGCATGCACAACGCGCTCTACCCGCGGCGTCCACGCCCGTCTCAAGCCGCGGGTTCCCCATGCGTCGGGTTCTCTGCATCGAGGCCAGCGCCGCGTTCGAGAAGCAGGCTGACGACCTCATCGTGCTTCTCCTCCTTCGCGCGGTCCAGCGGACGCAGTCCGTTGGTGTCCGCGACCGTGACGTCGGCGCCGTTGTCGAGGAGAACGCGGGTGGCATCGATGTGCCCGTTCCAGGTTGCGAGGAACAGCGGGGTCTGTCCCCACTTGTCTTGAGCGTTGACGGCTGCGCCGTGTTCGAGAAGGGCGCAGGCGAGGTCGACGTGACCATGCTGTGCAACAATGTGTAGCGGCGTCGATCCGTCCTCCTCCTGCGCATCGACAGCTGCGCCGCGGTCGAGAAGGGCGCGGGCGAGGTCGACGTGACCATGCTGTGCAACAATGTGTAGCGGCGTCGATCCGTCCTTCTCCTGCACGTCGATAGCTGCGCCGCGGTCGAGAAGGGCGCGGGCGAGGTCGACGTGACCATGCTGTGCAACAAGGTGTAGCGGCGTCCATCCGTCCTCCTCCTGCGCATCGACAGCTGCGCTGCGGTCGAGAAGGGCGCGGGCGAGGTCGACGTGGCCATAGCATGCAACAACGTGGAGCGGCGTCCATCCGTCCTGCTTCTGCACGTCGACCGCTGCGCCGCGGTCAAGAAGGGCGCGGGCGAGGTCGACGTGACCATGCCGTGCAACAACGTGTAGCGGCGTCCATCCGTCCTTCTCCTGCGCGTCGACAGCTGCGCCGCGGTCGAGAAGGGCGTGCGTGATGTCGACGTGGCCATTCTGTGCAGCAAGGTGTAGCGGCGTCCATCCGTCCTCCTCCTGTGCATCGACAACTGCGCCATGCTTGAGAAGCGCATGAGCAATGTTGACGAGGCCAAATTCCATGGTGTAGTGTAGCGCAGTGAATCCACGTTTGTCAGGAATGTTGTGATTTGCACCTTCGCCAAGGAGTAATAACACCACATCCTCGTGGCCTCGGTGTGCGGCAGCAGACAGAGCCGTCCCACACCGACCTCCTAAAGCATTGATCTCTATTCCGTCAACCTTGAGCAAGGCCTGAACACGGTGTTCAAGCCCCAGATAGGCCGCCCAATACAGCAGGGATTGCTTTCCATTCTGGTTTTCAGGTCGTGCCTTCTGCCACCTTGAAAAGAAATAAGAAATGGTCGGGTGGAGAAATCGGGACAGTAAATTATCAATGGCCTCAGCAACTTGACCAGGAAAGATATGGTCTTGCCAATATTGCACTGCATAGTTGGAAAAGGGAAGGTTTGACAGTGGTGGACTTAGAGGGGAGAGAAGGGTTACAAAGCATGTCTTGGCCAGAGTGATGTGTGCTAATGGTTCATCAATGTGGTACAGTGTGAGGGGGGGTGGTAGCTGGCCTGTGATGAGGAAGTCTCGTGCAGAGGTATGCACAAATTGAACAAAACGGCGGCATTCAGCTGTGTTGTCATCACAGCTGTCAGTGATCTCTACAAAGCTAGAACACATCTTGCTTATAAAGCTTTCTGGGTTCGCTACACGAAAGGTGGAGTTGAGTTTTGGGTCTCCAATAGCTGGGAAGTCAACCACAAGGAGTTCAATGAGCTCAGAAGGAGAGAGTGGCTGCTGGGCAAATGCAATGCACTGGAACATTTGCTGTCTTCGTTTTGTGACAGTTTCACTTGACTCAAGGTCAAGGCTCTGAAGGATACGCTCATATGTTTGAGAGATTGTCTTGGGAAGCTCGGTTAGGACCTTTTGAACATCTCCAGGAGGGCAGCTGCGCAGCACATCTAGCTGGAGATTAACCCATAGGAACCTTACATGCAATCAGAATGAATAAAACTAAGAACAAAAGACTCAACATACATGCCACTCGCCATTGATACAAGTTCTTTCTGGGCAAGCTCCTTGATATCAGATGGCCAACTTGAGAAGTCATCTTGGGCAAGACCATGGGATACATAGACAGCCAAGTCACGAGTGTGTGCATCAGCATCATGAAGCTTGAGCCGATGGGCAGGAAAACTATCCATGGCTGTCCAGATATCAGGCTCAGGCCGACTTGTCAGGAGAATACGTAGCCCCCTGATGTTCTTTGATACAAGTTTCTGGAGGGAGGAAAACAGTTCATCTCGTCGGGTAGTGCGTGGACACTCATCAAGAGCATCAATGATGATAACTGTTCCAGTGGAAGCCTGGAGGATCTGTTCTAGGCAGCTAAGGAGAAGCTCCCTGGTTGGCTTTAGCTTTGACCTATTCTCCACATAGAATTGCTCCAGAACTTGGTGGCGGTGTTCTGCACAAATGGCAAGTTGGTAGATCAGAGATGCCAATAGGCCAGTCACAGTCTGCATCTCAGCACGACGATAGTCAAAGTAGAAGTAGGCCACGTGCAGGCCAGGATGGACAAGACATGCTCAATGACAGATGAGCTATGGTTGCATGCTGTCAGCACCAAAAGGA